TTTAGGGTTTGGTGTTTAGGACCTCTCTAAGGGCTTGCTTCTTTTCCCCGTTTAGACCCACAATGAAACCACAGTCATGTACGATTGAACCCACCATCCGAGTTTGTATGCTGATACCATTGAAACTTGACTCCTGGAAACACCCTAAACCCTAAAACCCTAAAACTCTAAAACCCGAAAACCCTAGACCCTAAACACTAAACCCTATAATGAGTTCTTCAACTCTTCAAGCCTGAACTCTAAACCATAAATCCTAGTATATATATATATATATATATGTAATGAACTCTTCAACTCTTCCAGCCTAAACTCTAAACCCTGACGCCTAAACCACAAGAAGGGGCCCCAGTCCCGCTCGCGCTCTGCGGACTCCGCCCGCGTCCGCTCCTTCTCCACCTCAGGGCAGAAGGGTGGTTTGGGGTTTACCTTAAGAACCCAAAACCTACTTTTTTTGTAGGGTCCCTATAAATCCCATATTAGGGTCTATAATAAGAACCTAACCACAACAAAGTGGGTTTTGGGTCCTTAAGGTAGGGCTTATGGGGTCTAGGGTGTGGGATTAGGGTTGAGGGTTGAGGGTTGAGGGTTTGGGACTGAGGGTTTGGGGTTGAGGGTTTGGGGTTTAGGATTAGGGTTTAGGGTTTGGGGTTATGGGGTGTAGGGTTTAAAGTTATGACTTACTTGATGCCGAATCCGACATAAAAACATCCGTTGGCGAGTGAAGTGCACGCATCTTCAAGTATGCTTTGCAATTCTTGTAGACATCTTTCTTTCTTAAGTGCGGCGTGATGCCAAGAGAACTGCCCGTGCTAGAGTTGTGTGTTTGGGGCCAGACAGTCGCTAGATTCAGGCGAGTCCCAATTCGGCGGGCCTAACCAGCAAAGCCCAGAAATAACCATTACATCGACCTCTGTACAAATGCCAAGATGTACATCCCGTAAATCTCCCTAAACCCTAAACCGATCTTACAGCAACATGCTGTGATCTCCCGTGCCAGGCTAGCCAAGCTCCTGGCTTCGGGTGTAGGGCTTGTAAAACCGTCTGTAAACCCAGACCCCCAAAAGGATCTAAAAAATAGATCCCCGAATTAGGGACCCTAACTACTAAGGGGTACTTTATAGGAACCCTCTTAGTTAGGGGATCTATTTTTTAGATCCTTTTGGGGGTCTGGGAAGCTCTTAAGACGATCCCTGCCAGAATCGTGTCAAGCCATGCGAAGCCCAACCCGTAACCACTCAACCCGGGCAAGCCCCCAAAACCCTTGTAGCAACCATTGTCCCCTGTGGGAACCCCTATACGGCGATGCGTATGGAAGCCAGGAAATCTGATAGGTACCCTAGTAGCCTTCAAAGGAACCCTTAGCAAGAACCCTGAAAGGAACCCTGCAAGGCACGCTTATAATAGTAGCCGAGCAACCCTTTGAGTAAGCAACACCCTGAACCCCTAATCTCTACCCTATACACTCGTCACTACACCCCTACACCCCTAAACCCTGAACCCCTAAAGCCCAAAACCCCCAAAACCTAAACCCGAAATCGGACCTTATACTACTGTTGATGATATAAACCCTGCATCACTTTAAGGACCCCAAGCTGCGGGAATTATGGCATGTTCCTTATTGTGGGTGATGCAGGATCTACACAATCAACCGTAACTCTACTTGGAGGGTCGGGGGACTTAGTAAATGGTTATTTTATAGACTTATAAGTACTATAACCCCAATTAGGGTCCCTTTCAGGGTACTTATAAGTCTACTTATTGCCTACTTACTAAGTCTCCCGACCCTCCAAGTAAGGGTACATGTACCCAAATAGTATATACTTTAGCTCCAGAGTACCTAAATAGGGACTACTTTAAGGCCAAAGTATACACTATTTGGGCACATGGACCCCTAGAGTGCTTCTTAACCCTAAACCCTAAACCCCCCTAAACCCTAAACCCTAACACTAAACCCTAAAACCTAAACCCTAAAACCTAAACCCTAAACCCTAAAACCTACACCCTAAACCCTAACCCCTAAAACTAAACCCTAAAACCTAAACCCTGAACCGTAAAACCTACACCCTAAACCCTAACCCCCCTAAACCCTAAACCCTAAAACTAAACCCTAAAACCTGAACCCTAAACCCTAAAACCTACACCCTAAACCCTAACCCCACTAAACCCTAAACCCTAAAACTAAACCCTAAAACCTAAACACTAAACCCTAAAACCTACACCCTAAACCCAAACCCCCCTAAACCCTAAACCCTAAACACTAAAACCTAAACCCTAAACCCTAAAACCTACAAATCTGGCGGTGGGAACATGGTGTTCGAGCCCCTCCGGCGGCCTCCATGCGCGCTTCGTGGGCCTCCCTGGAGAGCTTTGAACTCCGCTCGTCGTCCTGTGCAGCCAAGTCTTTGGGTTTTAGGGGTTTTGGGCTTTAGGGTTTTAGGCTTTAGGTAGGGCTTGTAGGGTTCAGGGTTTATAGATTTATAGGGTTTATGGGGCTTATACGGTTTATAGGGCTTGGGGTTTAGAGTTTAGGGTTCAGAACTTGAACCGTGAACTTGAAACAGGGCTCCTCAACCCCACCTGCAAATTCCGCTGTCCGAAACCTCTTTCATTAAGCCCAAACCCAAAACCCAAAACGCAGCCCCAGATTCTGCCTTCCTTCCGCTGATCGGCAGGGGCTCCTCAACCCTTGAGCCCTGATCCCCACCCCCTTGACGGCTTCGGCTTCAGGGTTGCGGGTTTTGGGTCTTAAACTTGAGCCCTTAACCCCAAACTCTGAACCCCAAACCCTAAACCACCCCAAACTCTGAACCCCAAAGCTTGAAAGCCCTAACCCTATAAACCTTGAAGTCGCAATCCCAGAGCCCCAAATCCTAAAGCATGAATAGGGTTTAGGGTTTAGGGTTTCGGGTTCAGGGTTTAGAACATCCGGTCTCCTCCTCGCTTTGGGCCTCCTTGGCCCTCAGCTTCTTTTTCAGCTCCTCAAGCCTGGTGGAGTCCAGGATTTTGGCTTTTAAGCCCAGTACCCTGGCCCAAAAAAATATTTAAACTTTTCTTTTAGTAGGGGGTTTAATATACCAAAAAGTTTAAACTTTTCTTTTAGTAGGGGGTTTAACATACCAAAAAGTTTAAAGTTTACCTACTGGGCTCTCAAGTTGGGGTTTCGGGTTTAGGGCGGAGAAGGTCTCGGGTCTGGGATGTTGGGGGCGTTATTTAAAAGTCCCTTCCTTCTGGGATTCAGGGTTTTGGGATTTGGGGCTAGACTCTGCGTGGTGTTTAGCGCCTAAAAGCACACCATGTTGGGCACTTGGGCCATTAAGTCTTCGGGAAATAACGAAGGCTCCAGGTGTATGGACAAGGGCACGGCGGGATCTCCTCTGGAAGCACGTCGCTCATCGTCAACTTTGCCGCTTAATATAGGGGCCGTAATCATTCATATTATCTACAATTATGATAAGGAACCCCCAAACCCCTATTCCAAGTATTACGGCCCTTACACTAGCGCCCTATGAGCGCCCTACAACGCTCAGCTTCAGGGAGTCGGCGTTTCGCCGAAGTCAAGCTGCAACCCTAAGGCGGCAGGAATCCGGTAATGTAGGGGCCTTAGTGAATCCGAAGAGTTTGTGTTTAACAGGGTTCTTAAAGCGGGCCCCCGAAGGACTATAAAGAGTATCAACCTCTGAACGTTACGATAGTGCTGTAGTAGAGGGCCTTAATAATTAAGGAAGTCGCCTGTGGCGAAAACTTTTTTGACACACTACGCGCCCAAGTCGTAAGAAGAATACCGCAGCCACCGACGCAGGTGCAGTAGCCTTGCAGCTCATCACGCATCTGTCGCGGGGCCCGAGGATTGGAAAGACGGTCGGTCCTCTCCCGAGTCAACATAGCCCTGGAGCACAGCAGGAAGGCTGCTGAGTCTGAAACCAGACCTCAAAGTAGCGAGAACTCGTAGAATGCTGGCCTTGGGCCTTACCCCTTGACGGTCTCCAGGCTCAATGTTGTCCTCAATAATTTTGAGCTCCAGATTGCCGGACATGTCTGTGATTTGCTTGTTTTCACGCACTGTGCAAGAAGGAAAACAAGACTGCAAAACCACAGAATTCAAACATGAAATTATAAAGCCATGTGCTCTTGAAGTGTGCCAAAAGGTTTCGCTCGCGTTCGACGCTACGCCGCACTCACACTCACTGTCGCCACCAACGACATGGCCATCGCACACGCGAACGCTCCCTTGGAGTTTTTGGTCTATAGCAAACCCTGCAGAATGCAACTGACAAATCTTCGCCGAATCCTAACCCCAAAACCCTAAACCCCAACATCCTAAACCCTATTCACAAAAGCCTAACAAGCCCCTATCGCACAAAATAAGCCGAAACCCTAAACGGCCCTCAACCCTAAACCCTACGGCAATGACTCATCAAACCCTAAACCCTAAACCCTGAACCCTAAACCCTCAACCCTAATCCCAAACCCTAAGCCCTCAAGTCTAAACCCTCAACCCCAAACCCTCAACCCTCAACCCTCAACCCTAATCCCAAACCCTAGATCCTATAAACCCTAAACCCAAAACCCTGAACCCCAAACCTTGAGCCAGAACCTAGTCAGTGCAGCTTTGGGCTCGGGGCTCCATCCGCTAATTCTTTAGAATGATGCTTGCAGCGCCCGCGTGGACTGCGGCCCACACGGCTGTCCACATCATCGACTGCTTCCAGACATGAAGTTTGCACGGGGCGATACGGGGCGTGGTGGACGGGTGGCAAGGGAGGTGCGGCCGATAAGGGGCGGGGTGATTCTATCCTCGTGCCCGAGCTGTGCGTCGAGTCGGAAACAATCACATCGAACTCCTATCACATTCGGGGTACCCAGACAACTGGAGGTGTTGACCGAGCAGCTCTGCCTTTGCCAAGCTCGTGAGGGCGGTGCCGCAGAAGGCCCGCATTCCTTCGTCGCTGAGGTGGCAGCCGTCGGTGAAGAATGGATGACCTCTTCAATTGGGAGGTGAGGCCCGGATGTATGCTGCGATGCTTGCCAGTCTGGCGAGCGAACTCCAGAATCTCCGCGAGCTCATCTGCCCGACGATCGGCGACGACTGCAGCACCTCCAGGTTCGAGTTTTGGCTCTGGGTTGTTCCAACTTGCCGTCCGGGGGTGTAACCACCACAACGCAATGAAGTAAAACAGTGCTGGCTGATACATTGGAGCTCTGGCTCTGACACTTGTCACTTGCCAACTGCTCCGGTCCGGCCTCCTCTTCAGCCTTGAGCCTTGGGAGCATGCTCGGAGCAGTTTTGAGTTCATGTCGTCGGACTTCGGTCAAAGCTCAGGGTTTATGGCTTGGGGTTCACATGCTAGGTGTAGGACAGTGTGGGACTTGGGGTTGACGGCAAGCTTGATCTGAAAGGGTTTAGGGCCTCGGGTTGAGGGTCTCAGATAAACACAATAAAGTACCAAACACGGTACCGATGTAGGGCAAATCCCGAAACCCTTCAGGCCCTGCAAACCCAAAAACCTTACAAAACAAAATCAACAGACCGAGGCCCCTCCTTGGCGGCACGCTGGCAAAGCTCCGGGAGATCCGCACCGCTGAAGCGCCCAAGGGAGTCCTTGCTGCCAAGGAGGACGGGAAGCTGCCTTAGACAGAGGCTCGCGATGCGAGGCGCTGGGTTGGTGGAATTCGATGATGAAGCATTTTCGCACAGGCTTCTGGGCTTGGCCGTGCGGAGGTATCCTGCGTGGCAACCACTATTCTTCTGAAATCGAGGCTTTTCATTTGCGGGGGAGTGTACTTATAATTTCCGATGCTCGGACTGTGTGCTCCAACCTCGAGTGAAGCAGAAGGATGGCGACCGGTGTAGAAAGCATTTCTGGGTGTCTCTCTCAGGCCAAAGCTAGTCGCACGAGAAGCTATCAGAGACAAAGCAACTTTCGCCTCTTATCAGCTTGGCTAGAGATGGACCCAAGCATACCACGGATGGCAGGAGAGTCCACCTGTATAAGCAAGCAAATCAACAAGGAAAAGTAGCCAATAATCGAGCAGTGCGGCGCTCTGGTGGCGATAGTACTTGTTCTAGAGGTTTGGGAGGAATATAGGACAATTAAGTACGTGGAGCCGTAGAGCGGGTGTCCCTTTGCACTACCCACATTCCTCAAACAGGGCTTCGGTGAGCATTTCGCAACGCAGAACCCAATATCAGGACGATGCTACAGGAATAAATACAGTAGGAATCGTTAGGCGAGGCAACCAACCACTGCCCCCACTAGTGTTCAGGGCTATTCTAGCCGACCCAAGCTTACATTTGAACACACTCTCCACACTAGATGATGCCCGAACCTTGAAAATTGGAATTGGAGGGGCAGGGGTGGATCGTTTATGGGAGGGGGATTGCATGGGCTGCTTTATCAACCAGAACCTCCGCTTCTTGAGGAGTGATTAGAGCTCACCATACCTCGTGAATACAGCCCCCAGCAAATTGACTTCTCCAAGCTCCCAGTTGCTTACACTTGGTTCGCAGCATACAAGGGATTTGCAGTATACAGGACTGCGCACGTCATCCCCTGCTGGATACATGGCGGGACTGTCTTGGTCAGTCAAATTGGACGCCAAATATATACACTCACCAATATTCTAAATACATTACATTCACCAAAAGATGCATCAACCTGATCGATAACCTTTCCGGCATGACTTTCCTGGTGGCCTTGGCCTACGCATGTGAAAGGCAGCAAAACATCACATCAGAGAAAAAGGAATTCAAGGCGATCCTTCCTTGTCACCAATGCTTCCTTTGTTGTATGCGCAGCAGAAGAGCAACTGTCGTTTGCAGGAGAAATGGGTCTTTTGTAAGCATTCTCAAGGCCGTAAACCTGAAACCCAACTTGGTCATTGGAAATGTCCCACCCGCAAGCGCTGCGACGAACTCCTCCGCGACCTGAGGCCGGAAAATCAAGTCCACCCCAAAGCGAGCGCCATCCTTGGTGGTGTACCGCGCAAACAGCTGATCATCCTAAAAGCGCACCATCTCGACATCACCGTGGTTCTCGGGGTTGAAGGTTTCAAGATCACGTCTGCGAAATTAGTTTGAGGCCATGGTCATGAACATGAAGGTGCACAATTCTGCGATAGCATAACCCATAATTGCTGGCCGAAGTGCCATGCAGAGAGCACCTAAGAAGCCCCTAGTGCACCCACAACCCGAAACCCGAAACCGCCGTAAACCCTAAACCCTGCAGCAATGACTCCCCAAACCCTGAACCCAAGCCCCTAAACCCTAATCCCAAACCCTAAACAAAACGACTGAAAAACCCTGAACCCTAAGCCCCTAAATCCTCAACCCTAAACCCTCAACCCTAAAACCTTGAGCCACCCTATCGCAAGCAGGTCGGAGTAGCCTGTTTTCAAAGTCCTTCCGCTCCTGGGAGGCAACCGCGGGTTCAGGTTTAGGGTTGAGAATTTAGGGTTGAGTGTTGAGGGTTTGCGCTTTAGGCTTTAGGATTTTTGCTTTAGGGTTAGGGTTAGGCTAGGGCAGTCGGATCCTTCCGGTGGCTACTTTAGCACGCCGAGATAACAGCACAACCTCACTCTCCCGAAACACGACCCCTGCTCTACTGTTGATGATATAAATCCTGCATTACCTTAAGGACCCTAAACTATGGGAATTACGGTATATTCCCTGGTATGGGGAATGCAGGATTTATATCATCAGCCGTATCACTTGCTATCCCTCGAAGTTCACCCATGTCGACATCGCCGTCACTCTTTGTCCGTTTCCATTGTGCTCCTCGCACACTCTTCGTCCGTTTCCATTGTACTCCTCACACACTCTTCGTCAGTTTCCATTGTACTCCTCGCACTTTTTGAAATCATGCAAAAGGTCTGCCACCTGGTGCTCCGAGTGCCGTGGTACACCTTGCAGGTGAAGAAGGTGGGTGTGCTTACGGAGCTGCTTGACACCAACACGAGCCACGGCCGTGTTAAAGCACGCGCGGCAGTCGTGCACAGGGCTCCCGTATAAGAAAGACCACGTCACGGGTTGTAGGTTTGGACATCCTCTTAAAAGTTTAGGGTTTGGGGTTTAGGGTTTGGGTTTAGGGTTGGGGTTTAGGGTTTTGGGTTTAGGGTTTGGGTTTAAGGTTTTAGGGCTTAGCTCAAAGTAGGCTCTACCTATAGACTTTACCCCAAAGAAGGTACTAGTTGCATATTATAGAGCCTTTAAGTAGGCTCTGTCTTTATAGACTTTAGACCACGGAATGTACTTTTTGCATATTATAGAGTCTTTATACTCCCCAACGTAGGCTCTATCTATAGACTTTAGACCCCAAAGAAGGCACTATTTGCAGAATCTAGTGCCTGATTAGAACAGGGTGATGGGGCCTAAAACCCTAGAACCCTAAAGCCCTAAACCCTAAACCCTAAATCCCTAAAACCCTATTAAAAAAAGGAACGGGGAACATGTTATTAAAATTGTAATCAAGAACCCCAACGATGTCTTTAGACCCCTAGATTACTTGCAGACCTTGGCCTGGGGCTTAGATTCGGGGTTCAGGGTTCAGGGTTTAGGGTTTAGGGTTTAGGGCTTAGGTGCTTAGGGTTTAGGGGTTTAGGGTTTAGGGTTTAGGGTTTAGGGTTGAGGGTTTAGGGTTTGGGTTTTTTGGCTTTTCTGGGGATCTCAAGACCCACCCCGATCTGCTTTGGAGAGGGGATGAGCTATACCCTCTGAATAGAGGGGCCAGAACTTCATGACCCTAAACCCTAGGCCCTTAGCTATGTTGATCCCTTGCGTAGGTTTTGAAGGCTAAACCCTAAACCCTAAACCCGAAACCCTAAACCCTAAACCCTACACCCTACACCCTAAAACCCTAAAACCCTAAACCCTAAACCCTAAACCCTAAAAAGGGCGCAATGCATTCCGGCACAGCAACTCGAGGTCCCACAGACGGCCCACGACACAACATCAGTTACCCAGACCCCCGCGTTTAGGGTTTAGGGTTTAGGGATTTAGGGTTAGGGTTTAGGGTTTAGGATCCATAAAGTAGATCCCTTAATGGGGTTACTATAAAGAGCCCTTTAGTAGTATAGGGTCCCAAATTAGGGGTTCTACTTTCTAGATCCTCCCGGGGGTCTGGGTAGAGGAAACTACAGGTGGGGAGTTTAGGGTTTAGGGTTTTAGGGTTTAGGGTTTACAGGGTTTAGGGTCATGGGGTCATAGGGTTTAGGGTATATAGGGCTTCTATACGGCTTCCATAAAATATAGACTTTCTATAAGGCTCCTATAACGGTAACTACCCACCTGAAAATGTCCTAGATTGAGACCCCAAATCACTCAAGAGCTTTATTCGTCGCAAAGCACTCAAGCCAAGACCATCCAGACTGGAATGAAGCCCGAAACCAGAAATAAACCAAAAGGAGGTCCTGAAACCCGACCGAAACCTTACAGAACCGTAGAAATCACTAGTGTAGGGGCCTTAATAATCAGAATAGCGTTTTGGGGTATCTTCTACTATAACCCTAAACCTCAAACCCAAGGAGTCCTCAAAAATAGTATAGATAAGTATTATGGTCCCTACAGTATACACTCCTCCGTCCCCCCCAAACGCTTCCATCCTTATGGTCTGGGTTTAGGGTTAGGGTTTAGGGTTTAGGGCTCAGGGTTTAGGACCCTAAAGTATGGATGTGGTGGACAACCTTTAAGCCCAGTACCCTGGCCCAAAAAGTTTGAGCTTTTCTTTTACTAGGGGGTTTAATATACCAAAAAGCTTAAAGTTTACCTACTGGGCTCCTAAGACAAATAAAGGACTATACAATGGTTATTTAAGGTACTGTGATTACGGGTCCCTATTAGGGGTCCGTCCTAAAGTCCTTAGCATAGGAACCACAACGGAGACTATAGGAAAGGCTAAACCCTAAACCCTAAACCGTAAACCCCAAACCCTAAACCCTTTAAACCCTAAACCCCAAACCCTAAACCCTAAGACAAATAGGAACCACAACGGAGACTTTAGGAAAGGCCCGGTTCAGTAAGGCACAGGATTAAGATGTTGGAGGTGTGTGTTTCACGCATGGCTGATAAGGGCCAGGTTTAGGGTTTAGGGTTTAGCGGTTTAGGGTTTAGGGGTTTACTAGATAACCCAGAGACTCCAAAACCCCTTCATTAAGGAGTAGACCTTAAATCATATTAGGACTCCTATTAT